TCTGCTGAAAATCATAGAACAGGTGATTGGTGCCTCGAGTTACTTTATTGATATTGGAAGAACTTTCATGAGCGCGGTTTACATAGGAAATTGGTTCAATTAATTTTGACAGATATTTGTGGTCTGAATGTTGCATTGATGATTGCTAATTTAGCTTAGTTCGTTCCATTGTAGTGAAAACAGAAGTTGAGAACTTGTAACTGAGAACTTTTCAGTTGTCTTGGTTGTTCTTTATGCCCGCCTAATATTATCGATAATTCACTTTTATTTCCTATTTTCCTCCATCTATCTAGTTTTCTATTTTTTTTCCTGTATTATCTCTATTTCTCTACATTTAGGATAATTGTGGTTTATTAGGGCCATTTCATTCATCTTGCTGCCTTAATTTTGTCATCCCAACTTTGCAAAACACAACCCAACTGCACAAAGAAATAAAAAAAAAAGAAATCCTAAATCTCTAAATCAGCCGCCATCAATAGAAAAGAGAAAACATCAATATCAGCCTCTTTTGATCTTCAGTCATTGCGTGGTTGAGCTGCCCCCCCCCATCATCAACCTCAGAAATCCCCTATCAGTGCAACCCCGGATCCCCACCGGAAAAACTCACGAGAATCCTCCTAACTTTCCAGAAACTCATTGGATCGCTATAAACACGAGATCTCCTCCTTTTTGGCCACGGTGAATGATACCAGCACTGTATTTGAAACTACTGCCTTTAGATGAATCTGTCCCAAAAAGACTCTCTAGATCAATGTTAGACCCTCCATACTTGAATCACAATCAATAAAATGAAACATATTAAAGTAACTAGGAAAATAAAAGAAACTAAAAAGACATCACGAATTATCCAATAAGTCAATTCAAGATTTCCCGGCTCAACAAGATGGTTGGAGCAACCTCTCTTGAAAAAACTCACTCAAAATTAGCAAAAATAATTTAGAAGCAACTGTATAATTTTATTTATCAACTGAATTGAATTTGAAATTACACCATAAGGTGAGACCTTTTTTATAGGGTTTCACTGGATAATTTTTACTAAACGCCAAAATATTAGAATTAAATTAAAATTCTTTCCCAAATCTAGATTTATCTAAATCTCAAACCCAAAATAATAGTAAAATAATCCTATGGATGAAAATTAACACTAAAATATTAATAAAATATTAACTAGATAATTCTTCTCCCTTTTTACCATATTTCTCATGTGTCTTTAATCTCCTTGTAAACTTCAAGTTGATGAAGCATTCTCTTTGGAAAATCTACCATGAAAATCACATGTGAAAAACGATCAAAGAAGACTCCTTCTCGCGTTTCAATTCAGTCCACACGCCTTTCTCGCATGCTTCACTTGCGCAGGCAAGGTTTCCTGCATGCACGTGGCTTGTGCGTGTGCGGCTTCTCATGCGCATAGTTGCCTTCATGTGTGGCTTGCTTGTCCTGCTCAAACACGCGTCCAGGCGTGCAAGAAAGACTCTCCCACACGGCTAACTTGCCTTCTCACATGGGAAAGGAGTCTACGGGTGTGAAATGTCCTTCCTGCACATGCAGCTGCCCGCACACATGAACAAAGAGGTTCGCATGTGCGGCACATGATGTTCGCCACTCTCCAAGGCCGATCGGCCTTGTTTGGATCTTTTCTTGGGTTGTGGCCTTCCTTGGCTGTGAGGTCTTGATCCTCTCTTGGGTTGGGTCAAGGTTGGCCTTCTTTCTCACCTTGAGATCCTTCAAGTCCATGGAGTGTCTTTTGGGCCTTAAGCCTTCTTTGAACAAATTTAACTCATTCTTTAAAATAATTCCAAGTAGGAAAGTGGTTAGGGATGTAGATACTTTTCTCTTTGCGTTTGCATTCGTGTGGCTCTCATGCTGCATGCGTGCGCGTTATGCGCGTTGTGCGTGCTGCGTATCCTTCCTATGTGGCTACATTCTCGCGGGGAAATGTCTTGCGAGAATCCTGATTTCTGCGAGATTTTTCCTTGATATAGGATTGCATCCTTAAAACTAAATTTGGGACATCTAGGATCACATTAGTATGTTAGAGACCTTTCTCATGGTTTTAACTTCCGCTTGGAAGAGAAGCAGAAAAGAGATGGAAAGAGAGTTAGTTGACATTGAGAGAAACAAAATTGAGTGAATATTTTCCTTGATGATTTCATTCAAACCAAACCCCTTTTTGCAGGTCAGGGTTGGGTAGGAAAAGGTGTGCCTGTTTGGTAGGCACGCTTGATGGATACAATATCTGAAGTGGCTATGGTTACACAACCTTGTTGGTTACAACCTCCCGATCACCTTGCTGCAAGTGGTACAATTAAAAGACTAATTTACCCCTTTGCAAATGACCATTTTGCCTGGTTACAAACTTTTCTTGTTTTACCTTTCTTCCATAATAAACTTTTAGTGGTTTGCTTACATACCCTTCCCTTGAGCATAAAGTGACGCGGGAGGGTGTGGAGAGAATCAAATGAACTCCTATAATCCATTCAACTTATGCAATACCGAAACTTAACCGCTTAGAAAACCTCTCAGTCTAATTGAATTTACAATCCTAAAAGAAATGTAAAAATAAAGATTAAAGAAAACAAAATAAGGAAAAGAAAAACGCCAAGAACTTATTGATAAGTTGATATCACCCTGTTCTTTGTTTCAATAAGATTTCTGAAAACTTCTATTTCTCGAAAAATTTGAAGAAGTTAAAAATTAGCAAAAAGTTAATTGAAAAAAAATCTAAGCTTTCAAGAATTTCGGTCAAATTGATTGTAATTGAATGTGTTTACAACTTATGAGGAAAAGCTTATTTATAGTCTCTCTAGGATAATTCTAGATGATTACAATCTTTTGAAGAAATTAATAAAATAATATTTTAGATAAAATTCTATTTAAATATAGGATAATTACATAATAAAATATTTATTCTATCTCATCTAAATACAAGATAATTAAGTAATTATAGAGATAAAATTTATATTAAAAATAATAATAAAAATAAGATAGGACTTTATCTCATGTGATTTTCATGTAAAACATATTGGGAAATTAATTTAGACATGTGAGAATTAAATTAAAGATATGGGGAATTACAAGGTGGGTGAGGCAAGTTTTGGACAACCCGGACAGGTTGGACCAATTGGCCAGCACGGGTTGCGTAAGACGGGCCTGTGGGTTGGGCAATGGGTCGTTTGGGGTCGGCTGGGCCGGTTCCGAGCCCATCCACGTGGGGTGTGTGCGTTTGGTCCCTTGGGCTTGCGTGCGTGCAGCGGGCTCTGCGCGAGTCCAGTGGGCACGTGCATAGGTGCCGTCGTGTGCTTGTGCGTGCAGTTTGTGCGGCCATGCGTGCGCCTGTGCGCATGTGGGGCCGCAATTGGGCCGCATGCCTGTCGCTCATTTGGGTAGCTTCGTTCACGCGTGGACCTTCGTGTCCATGCATAGATGAATTTGCCTGCCTCCGGTTTTCCTGTGGGGTATAAGATCGCTTCAATTGGTTCATCGCACGACCTTGGAACGCTGGTGGATATGGGGGCCAAATATCTGGTATTTGCATTGCGACCACATGTGTACCTCACGAGCACCCATGCCCAGATTACACTTGGGTTTTCTTCTTGGGTCAAGATTTTCAGCTCGAGTCGTTCTTAGCGGTGAGGCCCATTACCGTTCAGGTTTTTGTCATCTTCTGGTGTCGTTTCTTCTTAGACTGGGATTTCTGTTTGGTGGATTCAGCCTTGCTATTTGAGATTTGATATGGGATAGAGTTGTTTCCTTTCTCTTCTTGGAAGTTCATCAGTACTAGCTCGCTTCTTGCCTTCCACTGGCTTACGTTTGTCCTTAGCGGGTATCGCGTCAAAAAGCTTGTCCTCAAGGTTGAGGTTGAGAAATTATTTATTGATGTACTTGTTATCCTCCCAAGTGCATTCCTCTGAGGGAGTGCCTTCTCATTGTATGAGAATCCATTTCACAGAGTGATTTCTGCGAAGGATGGTTCGATGTTGCAATATTTTGCTGCAGTTGGACACTTACTATGCCTTCCCAAGTATTGGTGAGTAAGTCTTCTATCACTATTTATTTACGTTTGCTGTACTTCTTGAGCTGTGATACATGAAAAACTAGGTGGATCTGTGAATAAGGGGGCAACCGAAGTTTGTGTGCCCTAGGTCCAATCTTCTGTATTACTTAAAAAGGACCATAGAAGTGGGGGGATGATTTGGACCCATCACCTTGTGGTACCGACCCTTGCTTGAATGCTTGTAGTTGGAGTAGCACCCAGTCCTGTACCTCAAAGCTTCTTTCATTCGATGAACGTCTGCATACTACTTGGTTCTCAGTTGAGAGTATCCAAAAAATGTGGAGGAGCGTAACCGTGGTTGGAAGGGTGGTCATCTTGAGACTTACATGGTAGAAAGTGTTACACCACCACGTTGCAGCGGAAAGCCATTTAACCCGTCTCTTAGGTTGATGATGGGCCATGCATTGAAGATACATCTCGAGTCATTGATTGAGTTACAATAATACTATTTTCAATGCCTAAAATAGTTAAAACAAGTGGTCTGTTAGAAAGAGAAATGAGGTCACAGGAATAATATGACACTTCTTATCCTTATAAATTCGTGACAATTTAAAAATAAACTTTCTAGGATGTAAGTGATAATATTGATATGTATAAAATGAAGATGAAAAGACAGAAAAACTTGGATCTTTAATTACACAAGAACCTAACATATATGAAACTTCAGCAAAACATGAAAAGCAAGAAAAAGAAAAAATGGATGAATCGGTGAGTGAGTAAAATCTTATAAAAGTGTTACAACCTAATAATCAAGAATTAATTAATGATCTAATAGGTAAAAGCACAAATTAGGTAACTGAAATGGTAGAAGATCTTGTGAAAGAGGTTGTTACTTCTATTGATCAAGTTGAGTTTTCTAATGATGGATTGTTTATTTAGCAGTAAGTAGCGACATTGTTCATGCTAAAAACAAGAACATTGTTGTTGGTTTTGAACTCCATATAAAGAGACCCTACTTGAAGATACTAGTTCATAAATTTCTTTGGCTCCTATTAACAATGAGAAAAGTTTGACTACTATTCCATTTTTTCTAATGGATTTTGTCATTCTTAATTGGTTCACGACATCTTTTAGCGTTGTTGATTTTGAAGCATTCATGTTATCTCACGACAATTTCAAGTTTCGCAAGCTTCAAAATATTAGACAAGTTCCAGCTTTAGTATTCTTTCAACTTTACCATATCAAACTCAAGGTCGAATTTTTACCAAGTGAAGTATCATAATATACAACGGGAGGATTCTACAATGAGCATATTTCAACATTAAGAGATATTTATGTAGTTTTAAAAATTATTAATATCAAACTCAAGGTCAAGTTTTTACCAAGTGGAGTATCATAATGTAAAACAGGAAGATTCTTCAATGAGCATATTTCAATGTTAAGAGATATTTATGTAGCTTTAAAAATTATTAACTATAGATTTATTATAATATGGGTTTATCATTTGTTGCTTAATTAAGATGCTATTTAGTATTTTCTATACAGGTTGGTTAAATATTAGTTGTTTTGTATTTCCCATGCTCTTTTTTTGATGTATTTTGGGTACTATAAAGAAGATACTCTGCTTAGTTATTAAGTAAACTAATTATAATTGTTACACAAATACTGAATTATTGATTTGATCTTTGAGATCCGAGATCTCTGTTTGCTGCTCTTGTTCTTCATGTCTGTCTAATATTCTTCAATTCTCCCTCTAAAGTCTTCACCTTTATTCTCTATTTTCCTCTATCTATGTAGTCTTCCATTCTCTTCCATGTATTTTCTATCTTTCTCTAAATTATAGGATAATTTTTATTCTATCATTACTTATTCTCAATCACTTAATACTTGGGGAGGGTCACTGAGGTTTCTTTAGATGTTGACCTGTCTGTTGCTGACAGAGGTTTGCTTAGTTGGTAATAGGTTCGGGGTTTGGTTCACCCATTACTATGATGCATGAGAGAATCTTAGTGATGTGATCCCGGGATTCCTGTAGGAGAATTACCCGTGAGTCTGCAGCCATACGAGAAGAAAGGCATGCAGCACACACGAGCAAGTGCAAGGATGCTGCGCATGCATGCTGCACAGCACATGGACGCAGTTGCGTGTGCAGGAAAAGGCAAAATCCTTTTCTTGCAAGGATTTCCGCAGGTCCCGTCCCAAGAAGGCAAGAAGTTCCAAATTTTTTTAATTCCTAATTGGGATTATTCCAAAGAATGGGCCAAGGTTGTTAAAAGAAAGCTTAAGCTCCAAGTGAGATTAATAGGATTGAAGAATTGTAAGAAAAGTCCAAGAGAAGGTCCAAAAGAAAGCATCCGGCCTAGAAGACCTGCGGACAGCACGTGTTGCACATGTGACCTTCCTCAGGCACATGTGCGGGCAACCACATGTGCGTTAAAGCTCACCCGCACATGCGGGATCGTTTCCCACATGAAGTAGCTCGCAGGGCATGCGGGCAGCAGCAGCCGCTCGCCACAGTGTGCGCACAAGTGAGCGCACATGCCCAGACACATGTGTAGCCACTGTGCATGTGCAGAAACACCCAGGTGTACGCCCAGGCGACCGCACGCGCGTGAGAAGCATCCACCCGCGCGCCACTTGCACACAACCTGCACGCCATCTGCACACTACCCGCACGCCATCTGCACGCTACCCGCACGGACCAGGCGGACAGCCACAAGGTCCTTTTAGACTCCTTTTCTCACATTTTTCCTAATTTTCCAAAGGTTCCTACAGTAAGGGATTTAGACAAATTTTGACGTGTGTTTAAAGTGTAAAATCGGAGGAGAAATTTTATTCAAATTGGAAGTCCAAGGAAGATCAAGGCATATGGAGATTTGGATAAGGCGAGAAGATTATTTTAATATTTAATTTTAATTATTCTAGATTATTTATTAAGTTTTAGATAAGAATTAATTATTTTAATATTTTTGTTTAAAAGTTTTCATTAAATTTTGTTTAATAGTACAAGTAGGAAGTTGTAATCTTACTCTGAGTCGAATTAGTAAATAAAAGCCTATATAAAGGCTTCAATCATTAAGTTGTAATTCAAGAGATCAATAAAATTAAAGCTTTTGCTTTGTTTCTAAATTAGTTTTGGCTAATTTTGAGAGAGTTCTTCAAGTTTCTTCAAGGTAGGGAGCTTCCAAAGACTTGTTGAGGCGATGAATTGAGATAGACTTATGGGGTAAGCCGTAGTGTCTTTCCTTATTATTTTTATTTCTCTATTATCTTGAATTTGCATGCCATATAGGTGAGTGTAGTTTCAAATAGGGAGAGTAAATTAGGTAGTTAAGTCTTCTGATTCATATATTGTGTGAGGTTTTGGGAGTCAAAATGATCCTGTCCCGACCCCTCCCGCGTCACTTAGTGTTGGAAGAATTGATCCAGTTTGCATGATTTCTTTTTTAAATAAAACTAGTACATGTGCAAATGCAATGCAAGAATTATGCCTAAAGCTATGGTAGAGAGAAGCCTAAATATAAGGAGAATGCAATGCAATCCCAAATGGAGGTTAATCACTAAAATAATAATAAAATGTAGAAAAATAATTCAATCCCTAATGCGGAGCAATCACTAAGATATAGCAATAAAACATAGAAGATATCTGCCAATTTATCTTACATAATTGATTGAACTATTTACATCAAAAAGTTCAGCTGATAGGAAATGTTGTAATCAATTATTTATACTGTAGTAGTTTCTGTATGTGCTCAATGATCATAAGAAATAATCTAAAATTAAGCTCAAGTCCTCACTGCCTAATGCATTTTTTGTTCAAACTGGCGGAATTGATGATAAATCCATTTTATATTTATTTGTTTAGTTATCTGTTTAATTTGTGTTGTGATGGTGATTGAGTCACTAATGCATTTATTATCATTTTTCTAATATCTGAATCTATATGTTCTTTCATTCACTTGCTGTTGGGTAAAAACCAACTCTGCTGTATTGATGTTTTCTGATTATTTCAGAGGTGGAACAGCTCTTGGGGCCAGAAGAAAGAGCAATTTTCCAAAAGAATGTGATTCCTAACCTTGGCAATTTATCAACGGTAAATTCTGACTGCTTTGGAGGAGCTGTCACTGAACACGTGCATAAAACTATTTAATGCTCATCAGAGCATTCAATAGACATACATCAGCTCTGCTTGTTTCTTGTTGACCTGGGATTTGTAAGTTTTGATATTTAGTTTCTTCTAACTCCAATATTCAGGAAAAATGGAAGCCACTTCACACTCTTGCACTGTCAGGACAGATACCTTTCATTGACCAGCTGCTTGAAAATGGGCTGGATATCAATGCTGTTGATAAGGTCAGTTTTTCTTGTTTGCTCTTTTCCAAATATTTTTACCTGTAGTACTGAGCTTATATAGTAAAACAGGATGGTCTCACAGCTCTTCACAAGGCAATTATTGGCAAAAATGAGACTGTAATTAGTCATCTTTTGAGAAAAGGTGCTAGTCCAAATGTGCAGGATCGAGTAAGGTTTCATAATCATAAATCTTCTCAGCTACAGAATAACCTTTTTGAAGGTAATTTTTAATCTGGTTCATCATCTGTTTATCCTAAAAGGATGGTGCTACCCCACTTCATTATGCAGTTGAAGTCGGTGTCATTCAAACTGTGAAGTTGTTGATCAAGTACAATGTTGATGTCAATGTTGCTGATAATGTGAGCAGTGGTTTAAGTTTCTTGACAATATCTTGATATCTTTTCGATGAATTTTCTTGATTCTTGGTTGATTTGATTATGTTACTTAGCAATCATCTAACCCCCTGTTATAGGAAGGATGGACCCCATTGCATGTTGCAGTCCAGAGTAGGAATAGAGATATAACAAAAGTTTTATTAATCACTGGTTCAGATAAGACCAGAAGAAACAAGGTAATGCATTTCATAGTTTGATTTGGCAGTTTTACTTCCCAGCAGTCTTATGGTTGTGAAATATGTCATGTTTGAAAATGTCTAATTTGGAATTCCAAATATATCTACTTATTCCTTTGTATTGGTGGACACTATAACAGATGCATCTTATCCTGGTTCATTATTTCTTAGTTTTCTTTGTATTTTTATTTTTCGTTCTCCATATGTGATGTAGAAAATAGTCAGGCAAGCTTCCCTAAGCATGGGAAACATGAAGTAGATTTTCTGCTGCATTTTTGTGAATTGTTTTGGTTGCTGCATTTCAGGATGGAAGAACACCACTGGACCTGAGCTTCTGTTATGGGAAGGACTTCAAGTCTTATGACCTTGCCAAGTTGCTGAAGATCATAGCAACTGACCAATATCCATAACAGTCTTGCACAATTTGGGGATAGATTTTGCAAGAAGAGCAAATTATTTTTAATCCAGCAATAGTTTCTTTTCCCATTTCAGAAGGTGTTACAATATCTTGGATCTTGAAGTTTCCATGAGGCTGCAGGTTTATCCAACTTCTTGCAAAGGAACACATTTCCCTCTCTCCTTTCTTGATCTTAAGTTGCATACTAGTATGTCTATGAAACCCAAATTCCTTAAGATTTTAAATGATAAAACACCATAAAACAGAATCAAAATTATGAGGGTTGTGGCTGGAAAGTGTCACCAAAAACAAAATCAAATCATCACTAAAACAGAGTCAAATATTTATAAAATTATGGGAACAAGATGCCCTAAAAACAGAAGCAAAAACATGAAAATAATGGCTGAAAAATATCATCAAAAAGGACCAAAACATTGCCTAAAAATAGCAACGTGTACGTCACCAAAATAAATTCATATTTTCTAAAATACCTACAAAATCATTAAAATGTTTGCACATTAAATTACAACAAGCCGCTTTAGCTCTTTCTAAAGTTTTAACACTCTAAATTCAGAGATTAAAACTTCGAGAATTCTCCCTTAAAATTTAAGAATTTCTCCTCTCAGGTTGGATAGGAAATGCTTTCCAGAATTTGGCCAGCACAATTAATATAGTCATGACTTACCCTGAGTTAATTTCATGAGTTTAGCATGCATTATTAAGTACATGTATGTGTTTAATGATGGTTGATAATGTTAAAAATTGAGTTGCAAGTCAAATGGAATAAAAACAGTGAGATTAGGAAGTGTTTTCACTTATCAGGGGAATTGAGTTTCTAAAGCCCAAAAATATTTCTCAAGGCTAAAATGAATCCTTAAGAAGTGAGAAAACACTTTCATAATGAGAGGGGACAATCAAATTGAGAAGCGGGAGAGAAATCTCCCAATAGAGGGAGAAAATCCCTCAGGTGAGGGATAAAAATGCCCCGAGTGAAGGGAATTTACCTTTTTTAGCTTAAAACACTTCCCGAGCTTTCCATCGTTGGAATTTTAAGCTTAGATTTTGGGGAATGACAGATTCCATATGAGAAAAGAGAAATAAAAAAGGGAAATTTTTGGAGAAGGAAAAAGTGGAGAGAAAGGCCAAAACTCGTGAGGTGGGAAAAGGTTTTCCCCCATGAAACCTTGAATGACCCCTTCGACTTAATTGGTGTCCCAAGACCAAAATACATAGGATTTGAGACCCAAATTTGTCTAAGGACTAGTCAAGACAAAGGAAAAAGTGCATGAAAAGAGAAAAATTTCCACATAAGAAAACTTGGGAGAAATAGAGCCAAAACAAAGAGGCATGGAAATAGGTGGTGAGTTTGATCTTTTGGGATTATGTGGGCCATAAAGGGGCCAAATGAAATCCAATTAAGCCCAAGCCAAAACTATGTGATAACTATCTGCTTAAGGAACACGTGAAGCAAGGGATGGCCCAAAATGATTAAGAATTAAGCAAGATATGAAGTCTTGAAGTGAAGGCATGGGCATGGGCATGGACTTATCCTTACTTGGGGTTTAGACCTTTTGAGGTTTAGGTGAACCTTAGATGGGCCTAATCTGGTCCAAATGAGCCCAATTTTGAATGGTAAGTATATGAAACCACTTGAAAAATACGAACTAAAATGGGCTAAAAAAATCATAAGGATAAAGGGAGATATACTACTAGAAGCAAAGACATATTCATGGGTTATGGTTTTAGGTCTTATGGGCATAGGTGGGCCTAAGGTGATCCAAATAAGGTCTAAATAGGCCCAAAATGTGATGTCCCGATGTCAACTAAACACCAACGTCCAACTGAGCAACTAAAAATGTATTTAAATAATAAAATATAGAATATTTATCTCTTACATTAATTACAATAATAATATACTAAGGCACTAAGTTATCAAATCCTATATACAAATGTTATGGATTTACAAAAATCTAGCCTATAAAAAAAACAAAATACAAAAAGAAAAGTCTTCCAATGTTCCCATTAAGCATCTTGGAACGGGTCCAACCATGCATTATTAGGGATATCTATAAAGTCATCATCTGGGAGGGAGGTTGGATTAGGGTGAGTTCCAATAAACTCAGTAAGATTAGCAGTAATTAAGTCATATAATCTCCGTTTAAGAACATATAGTTATTCAACAATGAAAAAGTCATATAACTTAATCAAATTAAATCAAAACCTGTCATTTCTCCATATTTCATATTATTAAGAATCCCAAAATCAAAAGTCGTCAAACCAAACGTATTGGAATTCTAGAGGCATTAGAAACAGATAAACATACAAGATTGGATCAAATCTCATAACGGAATCAAATTAGATCACTAACTCATGCACCCAGAATTAAACGTTGACTCGTCTTCTAACACAATTTTAATACATCATTATTAATCTTATTTTAGGTTACATTGTTTACGTACCTACGTATGCAACCGCCTAAACCTGTACCTAGGAGGGCAGAATGCACTGAATAACACTGTGAATGGGGACACATATAACAAAATAGATATACAAATAAAACACTCAACCATTCCGGTTGCCTCATCCACTCCCTGTGCACAGGGCAATGAACTAAAAGGTCTAGCTAAACTGAACCTTCGTCCACGAAGGGCCACAGAAACCCATTCATGTGTTTAAAAACATACATACATACAAACTGATAACTACTCTTCCTAGATAACAAGGTAAACAGATTTAACTGAATGACTTTGTTTATCACATCTTATTAAGCATTAGCTTGTTTTGTTATCTTTTATTTTAATCTAACCTGGACCAAAGCCTATACCTAGGTTAGATAAAACTCCCTTTTCCCACAAAACAAACTTTTTTACACAATTTCCAGACTTAGCAAAAATTTCCTTGCTTCCCCATTCTTCAAATTTCTTGTTAAATTTGCTTAATTCAAAATTTGCCAATTTTTTAAAATACATTTCCAAGTTCCCTAGATTTTTATTTTGTTTAAAATTTATATTTTATTGCCCTTTTTTTTATTTCCAGTTCCCCTTAGGTTTTTTTGTTCAAAATTCATATTTTATTACCAATTTTTCTTTTTAATTTCCAATTTATCCTTTTTTATCAGTTTTTATTTCCAAAATCTTAATTTCAAATTTCAAAATTCATTTCTTTGGTGTTTTGGGCAATCTGCCCTCAAACTTACGGCAAAGGATTAAAATCCTACAAGCCTGCACCCGCAACACAAACTGTATTAGCCCATGGCACTCTCGGCCTATGCATGCGTGGCAGTGCCTATGCCTTGCACGGCTTGCTGAGTAGCAACTTGTTAGTGGGGCGCATGCCTGGCATTATGGTCATCTGGGCTTACATTCCTGTGCGCATGCATGCACATCACTTGGCACAAGCAAGGGCGCCTAAATGGAACCTGTGCGCAGTGTGCTGTGCATACATAGTGTGTCAGGGGACATGACCTGGTGCTTTTGGGCATCTGGACAGTGTCCCATGGGCACCATAGTGCACGATCGCCCATGTCTGCCCCTTTAGCCAGCACATTGGTGCTTGGGCAACACAGACAAAGGCATCGAGCCTTTGTTTGCCGATCAATTTTCATCTTTCTTTTCATTTTAGCACTGGAAATCAATTTACAGTCATCATACAAACGTCCAATAATCAATTTTCATTAAATTCATTATAAAAAACAAGATTAAATCATCAAAATCATGCATGCAACACACACTGTCACAACCACCCCTCTCTTATAAGGCGTATATGAAGCACAC